TAATATAAAATAAAATACCAGAATGTGAAATTACATAACATCAAGATCTGTTACATTTAAGAATACTAAAAGAAGAAATGAAGAAAATAGTCCATGTATAAAAATGTGTGTACTAAATAATTCTAAAATTTATTTTAATAAATGTGATTGTATTCTTTCTGGCCAAAATCAAAGTGGCTGGTTTTTTTTTTTGTATTCTTTATATAGAATAACAGAAAATACAACCTCTAGAAGTATTTTGAACACTTGTTTGAATTCTTATTTATTTCCATTTTTGTATTTCAACCTACTTAGCTTATTAGATGAGTATTTTAATTTGAACATTTCAAAAAGCAATTACACTAGTAATTTTTTATGACATACTTGTTATTTTATGATTTATGTGTTTTATCTAAATCTTGGGAAATAGTGGAATGTTTTTGGCACACTTGTTTAAAGATGAGAGAGATTACAGCTGTAGACATTAGCTCAGTGTTTGAAGATTATCATTCCAGGTGTATGGAAAAGCTAAGACAAACTCTGCACTCAGGCTGAGTGCCTATAGGGGCGCTACTGTTTCTATTCTAGTACACCAGAACTTATCTCTGAGCAACATTGACTATGAAATAAATATGCCTAATCCTATGGTATATTACCACGAAAAGAATCACAGCATGTAAACTGAAAAGCAATAGCATGCTTACACCTCGAGAACGCTTTGCAAATAGCATCCCCCTTTAATCCAAAACAAAGTAACACCCACTTCCCTGTCCCATAGTTTGTTTAAAGAAGCCAAAGGTGCCAAGGTAGTATGTTACAGGCTAATTTCCTCCAGTTAATATTGTATGTAAAGACCATATATTTATGGGTTCAGAAATCAAGTGAGATGGGCTCATGGTCACAAATTTTATCAGTTCTTCTGATATGCCACTAATATATTTCCTCCTCCTCCTCTTCTTCTTCACCTTCTCCTTCCTTCTTCTCCTCCTCTTCTTCTCCTTCTTCTTTTCTTCTTCTTGTACTCTGTTGGGCTGTTTGGCTTGTTTTCAATCTCAGAATGTTCTATTATGAGTCACACAATGGGTTAACTTAAAATGGAAAATGAGACTGCTACACATGGGTATTTATATATAATAATGTCATCAAATTACCAGGAAAAGTGATGGATTTTCACTGCTTAGTATAAGTGTTTGTGAGTTAAAAGACATTGTTAATAAAGAGTAGGTTATGCCTATGGTGAAAATGATTCCTTGGAATGCTTCCTTCTCCTCCTGTTACTTGTGGTTCAAATAGAGAAAACATTACAGTTGTCCAATCCAGTCAGGGATGAACCAATGCAGACTATTCAGACAGTATTAAAAGTTTGAGTCATCTCAGCAAGTGTGGAACTTTGATCAGCTGAGGGCCCCTGAGACCAAAAATACATAGTGACAGAAGTTAGTTGTAACCTGGCAAGTATCATGTTACTGAATATATAAAGAAACATTTTAGCCGGGAGGTGGTGGTGTACACCTTTAATCCCATCTCTCGGGAGGCAGAGCCAGGCGAACATCTGTGAGTTCGAGGCCAGCCTGGGCTACCTAGTGAGTTCCAGGAAAGGCACAAAACTACACAGAGAAACCCTATCCTGAAAAAACAAACAAACAAACAAACAAACAAAAAAAGAAACATTTTAACAGTCAAGCACATTTTTCTATTTTAGATATATTAGTATATTAGTTAACCAATATTTCACTTTGCAGTTATTTTTCTCCTGCTAACATCAGATTATTGCTTTGAGATATTCAAAGATGCAATATTTAATTTATAATACCATACAGGAGCTATCATTTGGTGAGAGAAATGTGACATCTACTGAAAAAGTCTGGAATAATTTTGTTTGTGTACAGTGCAAGGTTGTAACATAACCTAACTACTATCTTTACAAATTAGTTTTTATTACAGGTGGTGTGTTTGAATGCCTAGCTGGTAAAGGGCAAGTTGTGACAGACTTAGAAAGTGTGGGTAAACTGATCCACATTTGTTTGACTTTTTTATCCTTTTAAAATTTGCTCATATTTAGACAGAATATATAAAAACTATGGGAGACACATCAGCAACTTCAGCTACCACTGTTGTTTGTTTTTGCACTTTTAGGGGCCTACCACCCAGCTCACAGATAAATCGCACACAGAGGCTTATTCTTAATTATAAGTGCCTGGCCTTAGCTTGGATTATTTCTAGCCAGCTTTTCTTAACTTAAATTATCCCATCTACTTTTGCCTTTGGACTTTTCCCATTTGCTTACTTCTGTAAATCTTACTCTTACTCTGTGGCTTGCTGTGTAGCTGGGTGGCTGGCCCCTGGAGTCCTCCTCCTTCCTTTCTCATTCCTTCATCTCCTTTTCCTCACAGATTTCTCCTTCTATTTATTCTTTCTGCCAGCCAGCCCCACCTATCCTTTCTCCTGCCTTGCCATTGGCCAGTCTTTATTAGACCATCAGGTGTTTTAGACAGGCTGAGTAATACAACTTCACAGAGTTAAAAAATACAACATAAACAAGTGCAACACACCTTAAAATAATATTCTACAACACACCCTTACTACCTGGCTGTGGACCAAGTGCTTTACATAACTTCTTATATCTCTACGGACCCGCACTTCATGTAGGAACCCCAGGCTTGCACTGATAGCCCCAAACATTCTTGCCATATGTCATTACCCTCAATTCTAAGCAGGAAGCTTAGTACTCTTCTACCAACTTCCTACGTGGCAATTACACCCATCCATGTATAACATGCATAGAAACACCTCTGGACAGAAATAGGAGGCTCATACCATATGTTCTACCCTGTGACCTGAGGACCATCACTCTCCATTGAAGGACATACCAGTAAGTCAACCTATCCATAATATGTACTCCAGCACTAGATGCCCCATGCCTGACTTCCTTTGTCTGTTCTGGAACTTCTGTTCGGGTGGAGCTGCCAGACTCATGCAACTAACACTATCATTGACAGGACTTTGTTTGCATAGCTCCATCTCTAGGCTTAGCTGTAGTAGGAAGGTTTCTCTGGTCCTGCCAGGACCTGCAGTCAGGACGAATCTCTCCCACTCTCATCCTGCAGCTGCTTATAAAATAATCACTCAGAAGCTGATATTAATTATAACTGCTTGGCCATTAGCTCAGGCTAATTACTGACTAGCTCTTACACTTAAATTAACCCATAATTCTTATCTATGTTTAGCCATATGGCTTGGTACTTTTTCTCAGTTCTGCCTTGTCATCTTGCTTCCTCTGTGTCTAGCTGGTGACTCCTGACTCAGCCTTCCTCTTCCCAGATCTCTCCTTGTCTGCTCACCCCTCCTATACTTCATGCCTGGCTACTGGCCAATCAGCAAAGTTTTATTTATCAACAAATCAGAGCAACAATAAGCTTGACTATCATGGATGACTAATTATTAATCTGTATTTCTTAACTATATATTACAATTTCAAATGAGCTGCACAAACATACCTTAAACAAGACTAGAAACATACATACAGTATAACAAAATTAATTTTAAGTTTGAATTATAAACTAAAATCCATAGCAATGTAAAACATTTTAAACAATTGTTCTTTAAAAGTAGGTTCAATAATCTATCCTTTTATCCTATCATATCTATACTACCCCCTTCTCTTCTTTAGAAAGAGATTGCATTTATGATCAATCTCCTTTAAATAAAAATATACATTTATTAACAATATTTTGGAAATTTGGGCATAGCTTCTCATACTACTTCCTGCTGGTTGTGGGCACTGGCAATCTTTATGGGGATCCTGAGAAAATTCAAGATAATGGTCAAGACCTGAAAAGACCAGCTATAATCTTTTTTCATAGGTACCATCTGTTAAGGTTCAAGAGTTCTAGTTTGATCAAATCTGATCTATCTTATCCTGAAACAAATCCACAGCTTCTTGCTTCCTGTGGAAACAAAAGCAGAGCCTCCTTTCCATAGCACCATATCCTTGGATCCAAATGTTGAAGTCAAGATACCTTTAAAATATACATAGTGGTTTAATTTAGCAGCCTTTACAATCAAATGTCTTTCTGCAGTTACAAACCCCAAAGACAATAGAATCTGGACTGTGTGATTTCCATCTTTACATGGCTTACTTTTTATATTACTTTTACTGTCTCTTTAAAAAACTGTATTTTTAAAAACTATTTCTTTATATAACTATCTATCCTCTGTTTCTTCTCTCACCCATGCCTATGTACATTTTTACACACACTGTAAACCACTTAGAGGTTTATTCCATCTGAATCTACCTAGCTGTGAATCTATAATTCACAACAGGAGATATTTTAAACTGCCAAACTGCATGTTTAGGACTGAATCAGCAGCCTTGGCTGCTGACTCCACCCATTTTATCTTTTTAACATGGCAGTGGTAATTCACCTCCAGCTCTGGGAGGAGGTGCTCTCCACTGACTCTGGGAGGCAGTGCGTCCATGCCTCCATCCAGCAGTGTGTAGCCCAGAAACCTATTTTTTTTTGTGCTAACAAAAGCTAAATCCACTATGCAGCCTACTGTATGGCTTGGATATTCCTCTGTATGCGGTGGCTGGAATCCGTCATGCTGCAGGTCAAGCCCACATGCTGCAAACCTACCATACTGGCTGCAAACAGCCTTGGGAGACACACTAGGAAGCTGTTTTTAGCTCCATTTTACATTTTTTTTTAAGTTCTCTAAAGTTTCAGGTGGAAACTCAAGTTAACATGTTGGGTGCTATTTGTAACCAGAAGTATTCTCCAGTTCTGCCCGGACCCTATGGTAGGGATGATCTCTCCCACTTGTGTCCCACAGCTGCTTGATCCCAAATAAACATATAGAGGCTTATATTATTTTCCAACTATATGGCCTAGTAGCTCAAGTTTCTTGCTAGCTAGCTCTGACATCTTAAATTAACCCATTTCTATAAATCTATACTTTGCCACATGGCTTGTGGTTTACCGGTACTTTTATATCTTGCTTCTCCTGGTGGTAGCCAGCAGCATCTGTTTCACTCTCCTTTCTTCTCTCCTATCTCACTTGGATTTTCCTACCTGGCTCCACCCTGCCCTGCCATAGGCCAATGCAGCTTTATTTATCAACCAATCAGAGCAACACATATTCACAGCGTTCAGAACAGCATCCTATAGAACATAGCACCTAGACACCCTAGACACCACCAACCCTACCAGTTTCATATCGCTGGGCAGTGCTCTACAGATGACCAAAGGAAAAAGTAATCCTCAAATCACCAATGATACCCATCTGTAAACATTGTGAGATAGAATAATAACTTGATGACCAAGATGTGTGCACTAGGGCAATAGGGGTGTGAATGTCATGAGGTAACCAATTATTTTCTGATTGTATTTAAGGCCTGCTCCACAAGATGAAACTTGTACATGTCACCATTATTAGGGCAATAATCTGTGGCTAAGACAAAATGTAAATCCTAAAAGAGAATTTAACACTATCATTCTGCCAAATGTACTCAGTATGAAAACAATCCCTACTATCTTATCACTATAAGCACAGATTAAGGCATAGCTCAACACTCCTTCGAGAAGCTTCTGTTTGCAGTAGATGAAGATCAATACAGAGATTCACAACTGTCCAAGTTGCAGAGAAGGAGACTGCAGAATTTTCAGCCCTAAATGGAACATATATACTGCACTATCCCCTCCAATGTTCAAGGATCATTGTAGAAGAGGGGGGAAAAGGAGTGTGAGAGTCAGAGTCAGTGCATGCCTACAAGAAATTAGTGTCTTTTGGACTCATCAGGGAAGCTGCCCATATGAACATACAGTAGGTGCAGCAGCACGCACCAGACCTGTGCAAGTCCAGGACAGACCAAGTTGCAGGACGCTGAGTGGAATTAGGCATGGAGTTCTACAATGAGCTGAAGAGATATTGACAATTGCTAACCAGCAGGAGATGAAGGGTCCATTTTCTCTTATACTTATAGGCTCTGATAAGTCAGCTACACCCCAGTGGAAGGCCACATGTCCAAAAATATCAGAGCAGCACACACTGATTTTGATGGCAAAACAGAGATGGGGTGGGAAATGAATAGAGGAGGATATGGGAAAAATGAGAAGAGTTTGGAAAGGGTAGGTAAATATGAACAAATTACCTAGCATGAACTTTCCAAAAAACTAATATATATTAATATAGGAGACTATTTTTGAGATGATTCCCCACATAAGGCTCCAATAGATGAGGTCAAACTAAACTGAAATCACTCATGTTAAATATCACATATTCAAACTGAAACTTTAAGGAAGCAAATAGAAAACTAAACAGAGAAGTTTTCCTCTAAACAGGGGCTTCTATTGCATATGACTCTACAAGGAAATGCTCCATGCTCTAATCCTTAAAACAGAAATAATCTGAAGCAATATAATCTTAATCAAACAGCATTTTCTGTCTTTTGTCCCATTTCTTTCTGCTCTCCTTGCAGACCATTGATCCATTTTTGCTTAGTGGGAGCTCATATTGTACTTTGCATAACAGAAATTGACCTGATTCATGACATTACTAAAATTAGTGTAATTTTGCCCTTTGAAAACAAAAACAAAAACAAAACAGAAATAGACGTCATATTTGAAAAATGAAATCACAGAGTAGCAATTTAATCCACTGAAGAATAAGGTGGAGTGTCTGGTTGTAGCTCATGCCTATCTTTCATGAATCTACTTGTATTATTTGTGGGGACAAGCAAACAACCCCAGACCTACAGGCCAACTGAAGCTCTATGTCAGGGCAGAATCAAGTGCAAATTTGGTTCATTTTCTAGAGTGACATTTTCTTCTACAAACAATGATACAAAGGTTGGTAGCTTGGAAATGAGAGAAGAGCGATACTGGTTCTCATGTCAAGTATATATAATTTTAAGTGCTCAACACTTTGCAGGAATTCTTAATTATTTTTTCATGTCTCTCTCATCTATGCCTTCAAAGTCAACAGCAATGAAATAAAACAAAATAAAAATAAAGACCCAGAAATAACAGTGTACTGCTCTATCAGTAGCTAGACTTACATTAATTCAAAACTCTAGACTAAATCGTCTGTTCTGCCTCCTTTCAACTGGCTCTGTTCTCTAATTTAATTCTAATACCATCTATTTTATGACACGTTACCACTTCTTTCTCAACAAGTAAAACAACCTAAGAAATAAATGTTTGTCAAAAATCTGAAAACAAATTATGTAACTACAATACATTACTTTCAGTTCTTTAACCATCATTATCAAAAGTTGGAGTGCAATACAGTAAGGAGCCTCTCACTGATTCAGACTTTGATTAAACAAGTTATTTCAGGAATTGGTTAAAAAAAACTCCAGGTTAATAACTTAGGTACACTGATGCAAATATGCAAGGCCTGTCTGTCAAGAAGCAAATGTAAGTTTAACTAGTGCAAAGAAACTAAACATTAGGAACAATAGGAAAGACGAGCTAAATGCAATGCAAGATAAAGCTATAAAAAGGTTCAGTGACTTCATTCAAGTAAAGAAATATGATGAACATGACAGAGACTTCAAAATTATGGTCATAAAACTGACAAATGAGGTCAAATGAATGATGCATGAAAAACTGAGTATTTCAACAAAGAGACAGAAATGTATTTTAAAGTGCAAAACAGGAGTTTTAGAGCTAAAACATTTTATATAATGACTAAACAATTTAATAAAGGAGTAGAACAGACAAGATTAAGCAGAAGAAAGGCTAGTTAATTTGAAGACAGGTCTTTAAAATACTCTAGTTATAGGAACACAAAGAAAATAAGTATGAAAAAAATAAAGACACCTTAAGGGAGTTTTGGGACACCTTGGAAAAAAAACCAAAGCATGACAAAGAATTTTTAGGAGAAAAAAGTAGAAACAGACACTTATTTAATAAGACAATAACTGAAAAATTCTTGTAAGTTTAGAAACAGAAATGCATGTTCAGATTAAGAAAGCTCAAAGGACAACAGATGAGATTATCCCAAAGACACTCACATCAAGGCACAGTGAAATTCAATCAACAGAAATTAAATGCACAAAGAGTTTAGAGGCCGCTGAAAGAAAAGTGTCAAAAGCAGAGGAACACCCAGAAGATTATGAGCAGATTTTTGAGCAAACCTAATGCTAGCTTTGAGGGAGGGGGCTGTAATATTTAAAATACTAATGAATAAACAAGCAGTCTAAATGTTACAGTCAATAAAAATGATTTATAAAGACAAGTCAGATATAGAGATTTCTCTCAGACAAACATAATTGGAAAGAGCTAAAGCCTGGGCTTGCTTTATGAGCAATTGCTGATGAATGCTCATTAAGTTGAAGTGAAAGGAGAAACTTGCAACACAAGATAGTAAGAAAGTATAATTCTGTTGATAAAGGTATATATAATAACAAAGAGAACATTATATTACTATGATTTTGTAATATTATAATAAGTAAATCATCTTTAATTAAAGTATAAAGGTTTCAATGACAGGTACATTATAATACCCATGGCTAAGCTGTATGAAGAGAAACATAATATATGTAGGTGTAATTTGTCGCATCAATGGCATGTAATGGAAGGCAGAGATATGGAGAGAAGTACACAGTTACTATGCAAATAAAGTTAAGAATTTTATGACTACAAATCCATATATAATAAATATATTAAGTATACACCATGGTAGCCATAAAGAACTAACTATAGAGCTTAAGAACACAGTTTAGACTATTAATACATACCACACCTCCATCATTATCCATAAAGAAACAGCAAAAAGAAAAGAACAAAATAAATCCAAGACAAAGCATTATGAATTGTAACAGTGTTTTTTTTTCATATTAATAATTGCCTTTAATGGAAACAGACTTAACTTTTCAATCAAAAGTTATAGGGTTGATGAAATAAATTAAAAACCTCAATCCTACTTTATGCTATATACAAACAAAACATCCCACTTTAGACTCCAGGACACACAAGGGCTTAAATTAAAGATAGAAAACATACTTGGTCTAAATAGAAATAAAAAAAAGAAAGTGTGAGTGGTTCTGTTTTATAAGGAACAAAAAGATCAAAGCAAACTTGTCTCTATACCTAAAGATCATTATATAATTATACATATATACATATAATGACATTTAGGGCTATATTCAAGCAGATGAGATAAGAATTATAGTATATGCATTTAATTTCAGATTACCTAAGTACATAAAACAATTATTTCCCTAAAGAAGAGACTAAGAGTCATACATTTATATCAGAAAACTTCAATATTCTACCTTCATAGACTATTTGAGCAGAAAGTCAATTAAGCAGTGTGAATTTGAACTATACCATTGAACAAATGAACATAATAGGAATATACAGAAGTTTACACTGACTGACAAAACATGACACCTCTTTTGGACATGCACATTGGATTATCTTCAGGATAGGTCACATAGTAGGTCAAGAAATAAGTCTTAATGTACTTAGATCAATATCACACCACTACCTTCTAATGCAATGACAATGTCTCTACTAGATAGACCTTCACTGACTAAAATATAAAGAGCTCAGTGCCAGATAATGGTTACTCTTCCAGGACTGCTCCCCAATGAAGTTTCACAGAAATTCCCTTCCCAAAACTATAGGCTACTGCTAATGCTATTAGTTGCCCTCCATGATTTGACGGTAAGATCCTATTTTTGAAAAACAACAACAAACATATATTTGAATCATGCAACATAGAAAGCAAGATGGTACTTACCTGGAAGATTCATCCCCACTGGGTACTTTCTATGGTGCTGAAAGTTGCTCACCATGCTACAAGAAGAGAGTAATCTTCAAATTTACTTACCATATTACTATTCTTCTGTTAAATGCACATCGTACTAAACCAACTTCTAATGACTTATTTCTATGCCGATAGATCAGTGTATCCCTCAACCCTTAAAAAAGCAGCTTCCTTTTGCAGTAAATGGCCATAACTAGAGTGACTCACAACATGTCAAGGTGCAGAAAACGAGAGACTATAACTATTCAGTACTAAATAGGACATCTACATGACACCCTTTTTTCCCACAGCCTGGAGATCATTGTGGAAATGAGGCAGAAAGATTATAAGAGCTAAGGTTGTTAGCATTCAGACTTACTGGGCCAACTCCTT